TTTTTTTTTTTTTCCCCTGAGGTTTGTTTTTTTATTATTATTATTTTTTAATTTTATTCTCCCGCCCCTTCCCTCTCTGGAAAAATCCGAGTGAGGGACTGCGCTCCGAAATAACTCCCCCACTCCTGAACAATTTACAATGTGAAGTATTTTTGCCGACATCCTCCTGGGTTGCGACGTGTTGCTTCGAATAATCCGACCGAGAAATACTGCACTGACAAAATATAGAAATCTATCTATCTATCTATCTCCTGTAAATAAAATGTTTGCTATGGTTTGTAACCACGTCCATCTGTTGGCTAGGCTGAGGCCGCGGGGCTGCCCATCGCCTGCTCCTCACCTCCAACTCCCCTCTTCGCCTTTTTAATTTTTTTTCCCCTTCCCCCGCGAGCGGAGGTGATGACAACAACCGGATTTCATTACGCAAAATTGCGCTTGGACGAGAAAATCGCCAATTCCGTTTGCAGCTTCGACGGCGCGCGCCTACGGACATGGATATCTTGGGGAGGTTTTGGGTTTTGGTGCAGGATCGTCCCTACAGACGAACCGCATCCGGGGGTGGGAGGGAGCTGTCTCGGAAGGGGGTTGAGGTGGTAGCGCCCTGTGACGTCACGCTGTCACTGCGTGGCCCGGGGAGCGCGGTATGACGTCACGGGCGCAGAGTGCACAGAGGAGGCAGTGCTACTTTCGAGTGTCCGTCGGCAAAAATCATTTTGGGGAAAACTGAGCCAGGGCAAAGAGCGAGCCGGGAGGGCTGCGGTGGGCCAGGAGGGGATGAGAGAGGCAGAAAACAAGGTGCAAACGAGCGAGCAGAGTCACGGCGCACAAAGCGATTTTCAACGGTGCCGCTGCGCCCGTGGATGCGCGCAGCGCCTGCGGTGCCGTTTCCATTGGATCTCTGTGCGTCAGGGAAGGGGTTGCGAGTAGGGCGTCCCCGATGGCTTTGCTGGGGGGGAGCGGTTCGTCGGGGACAGCTGCTCTTCGCCTCCGCCTCAGGAAAAGGGCCCCGTGTGATGCCCACAGCCAAACAGAAGGGCCAAAAATCTCCCTGCATCGCTCCGGTTTTGGGGCCCGCTCAGCTCGGGCGGCCTCCGGGAGAATAACGGTGTTCCTCTCCAGAGGAGAAAGGAAGACATTAAAACATTACAGGCAGCATGCCCCGGCTGTGCGCGCCGTCGGGCAGGTGGACAAAGCCACGTACGTGGCTCTGGGGAAAGTGGCGTGGCTGTGCCCGTCCCAAGTGGGGAGGGAGCCCAGTTGCTGAAATAATGGTGCGGGGACCGTCGGGAGTGCGGCAGCCCGTGAGCCGTCCGTAACGCGGTGCTGCAACCATCCGGAGAAAGGTCCCAGCAAGCCCGGGGGGTCCCTTTTTGTTTGCTTTATTTCTCGCAGCTTTGCCAACACGAGCGGATTCGGGCTGTCGTGGTCGCCTCTGAAGGCGGAGCGCCGAGCATCGCCCCGCGGATCCTGTTCTCCAACTGCCCCAACACTCGGGCTCGAGGCCGGTTTCTCCCCAACACCCCTCCGCGACCCACGCCAAATTCGGACCATACAATGGTTAGGGCCGCGGTCGGCCGGGAGGGCTCAGTGAGGTCGGAATATTCTATGATTCTATGACCGATTCTGTGATTTCGGGCCGTGGGGCAGAGCAGGGATGGCTGAGCAGAGCGTAGCTGCCCCCGTGGAGGGGAACCGAAGAACGACGGGACCGGGGGCGGCTCCGGGCCACCGGACCCCGAGGCGCAGCTCCCGATGCGCGGCCGCGTTCGACATTCCGAGTCCCTCCGGCTGCGGCTCGAGATCAGCATCGCAATGAGCCCTCATTCCCCCCCCCCATGCGCAACGAGATCCTGTTCTTCTCTCCCAGTTTCTTCCTTGAAACCTCTCTCAGCTCCGAAAAGACTTCCAGGAAGCCTCGGAAATGGGAATGGTCACGTTAACGGGAGAAAAAAAAAAAAAAAAAAAAAAAGAGAGAGAGACAGAAAGAGAGGCAATATTTAAAATTTAATGGAAGGGCGAGAGGGGTCCCCGCCCGCGGCCCCGGGCCCAGCGGCGGCGAACCCCGCGTTCTCCTCCCGCCGTGCTCTTTAGGAAAATATTTGCGTATTATTTTAACGTTGGTCTTCGGCTGATGTCTTAAAAAATAATTGTTTTCAGGCCCCGCTCCTCTCGGCATCGCCGCTTCGCGCTCACACGCGGCGCTTTGCTGCAGCCCGCGCCTCGGGACTGCCTGGCGTCGGCGAGACAAACTGCGAGCCCCAAATGTCAGCTCCTGCCGCAGCCCCGCTGCAAAACCGCCCCCTCCTCACTGCTGCGAGGCGCTCATCGGGAATAATGGCTGTTTACACAAAACCTTTATTCACTTTCTTAAATAAACAGCAGCGAACTCAAATAAAGCGAACCCTCGGCTATAACTCAGGCGCGGCGCTGGCTGTGCGCATTCCCGGCTGCGGACCCGGAGAGCCTCCGAGGGGAGAAATCTGAGGGCTCCTGTCACAGCCCACCTCCACCGGCTCGACATCCGCGCGGACCTCGGCCTGAGCTTTCCTTTTCCTCTTCCCTTCTCTTATTTTATCTTCCCTTTTTCCCAAACGAAGCGGAGATACTCTCCCCCCTCCACCTTCACCCCAGTCTCTTTGCAGAGGTGGGAGCCCCGAGCTCCGCTCCGCACAGAGACGGCGGTGGGGGTCCCCCTGAGCCCCCCGTGCGCTGCCCTCCGCTCCGCTGCCCCCCGCTCCCTCAGCCCAGGCCCTAATGAGCTCCATTAAGAGCGTTATTGATGTGGAGGTTCGCTGTGAGGTCCCGGCTGGAGGGGAGCGCAGCTCTGCTCGGCAGATACGGCCGCTCTGATCCGCGCCACCTGGCTGAAACCAGAGAGCCGCCACTTCATTAATGGGTTTAGCCTTTGCTAATTGGTGTCTTTAGGAGCCTTGCCAAAATCTGCTCCGCGATCTTTGGAGGCAGTTTTTGTTTTTCCTTCTGCCGGTGACATTCGTTGGCGGCGATTAGAGCCGGTACCGCTCCCGCAGCTGAGCTACGAGCCCCGACGGGGCGGGCTGTGCTCCGGCCCCAGCGCTCTCCCGGCAGCCGGACCCCAAAAACGGACCGAACCGGCAACCGGGCTGGCGAACCCCTTCTGCCCGCCGGCGGAGCAGGTGGCGGGGTCGGATGTGGGCCGACAGAGGGGTGCCGGATCCCGACGAAGGCCAGCCCGAGCCGTGCCCGGAGACGCGCCGCTCCGCAACCGCCGCAGCCTGGAGCCGCCGGCGCCGCGGCCCGGAGCCCCCGTTCGCTGCCCGCCCTCGGGGTCACCTTCGTACCCGGCCCTGCGGCCCTGCCCGGGTTTTCCGGGATTCAAAGGGCCGCAGTTAATGAAATCCGCTCGCCGCAAATCACAGAGCGCTGCCGTACGCTATAATCAAATTTCTGCTTGCCTTAAAAAACCCGGGCCACCCTCCTCCACCCCCAGCCTCCGGGCAAACCCCAAATCAAGGGTTTCAGCCATCGCCGCTCCCGCTCCCAGGGCCGTCGCTCCCGGCCCGCGCTGCCCGTAGCGGCTCTCGGCGGCAGGAGCTGCGGGGCTGCCCGAGATGGGACGGGCACCGCGGGGGGAGGTTACCCGGGGTGGGGGATGGGGGTGATAGGGGTGCTGGGTTGGAAGTGATGGAGATGGGGGCCTGATACAGGGGATGGTGGAAGGGGTGATGGGGCTGATGGGATGAGAGTGGTGGGATGGAGATGAAAGTGATGGGATGGGGATGGGGGTGATGGAATGAGGACCGTGCAGGGATGGTATGGGAGTGAGTCTGGAGATGGTGGGATGGGGATGATGGTTTGGGGGGGTGGGATGGGAGTGGTGGAGAATGTGATGGTGGTGATGGGATGAGGATAAGTGGGAATGGGGGTCATGAGGTGGACGTGATGGGATGGTAGAGGGAATGATGGGATAGGGGCGATGGGGCTGACAGGATGAGAGTGGTGGGATGGGGGTGGAAGTTATGGGATGGGAAGAGGTGAGGGGATGGGGATGATGGAATTGAGGTGATGGTTTGGGGATGAAGGGATGGAGATGGTGGAGAGTGTAACAGGGGAGATGGGTTGAGAGTGGTGGGATGGGGGTGGTGGGATGGAGGTCATAAGGTGAAGATGATGGGATGGAAAGGTGGAGGAGGTGATGGGATGGGGGTGATGAGATGGGAATGGGAAGCAGGGGTGGCTCGTCTCCCCCCACCCTGGCCGCAGCAGATGCATTTATTTGCGTGCACACCCTTCGCCATAAATCCCTCCATCTATAATCATTATCCACACGGAAACTTTTGCCCCCTGCAGCCCCCAGGACTTTCCCCCTTCCGCCACCCCCCTCAACTCCCCTCCAGTTAGCGGTGATGATTTTAAAAGCATGCGATGATCTAAGCCCTAATCCTAATATTATGC